CGGAGCGAGCAGGGAATCCAGCTCGGAGGGGGAAAAGCCCCACGGATCCCTCGTTAGTGCCCCATCAACCACCACCAAATCAGCTCCCATGGGAGTTCCCGAGACTTCCCAATCCAGGCATCCCCGACTGGAAAGGGATCAGGACTCCAGTGTGGCCAGAAACATGGGTTATGAGGATTTCAAAACACTCCACATGAGGATTTTTGGTCCTCTCCCCTTTGAGTCATTCCAAAGCCACTGGAGCAAAACCCAAGACATTGTCATCCCCTTCCCAAGGTTACACCTAAGGATTTATCCCGAGCTTTTGTAAGTGGCAACTTTAGGATTGTGACAGGAATTCCCAAGGCACGAGACCAGCCAAATCCCAGTGTCCCACCAGCACCAGCCCCCAGCAAGGAACGTCTGTGCTGCAGGAAAAGTGGGGAGCAAGGACTGATTTTGGGGTGGGGAACATCCATCCTGGGGCATTGCAGCAGCACAGCTGGGCAGCAGGGACTGCCTCTCCAAGGCTCCCGGTGCTGCCTCCTCCCCAGAGAGCCCCTTGGATTCAGAGACCCCCCCAACATGATTTCTGGGATGCCACACTTGGAGGGGTGGCCGGAGACACCCCCCGAGGACAAACCCACCTTGGAGGCGCCGATGACGAAGGTGTGGGCCACGTTCCCGATGAACCCGTCCACGTGCACTCCCAGGTCTCTGCAACACAAAGGAAAGGGAATTCCAGGTGGGTCTCAGGGCTCAGGGGTGATTCCAGAGGCATCAGCAGACAGGAGAGCGCTCCAGGCGCTGCTCCAGACTCGATATTAGTCTTTAATTAGCGCCGCAGTAATTAACCTGGGCTGGTGCGTCCCTGCCCGTGGCGGGGGGAAGGGGATGATCTTTAAGGTCCTTCCAACCCAAACCATCCTGGGATTCTGGGAAGTATTTAACAGGGAGCAGGACCAGAGGAGGGAACTCGCCCCAGGCACTCACATTTTGACCAGATCTCCATCTTTGAGGATGTAATCCTGGTCACTCTTCAGCGGGGAGAAGTGACACACACAGTTATTTACGGATATACTCGTCGGGAAGGCAATTCCTAGAGAGGGAGAAACACAACCACGGAGTCAAGGAGCGGTCTGGGTTTGGAGGGATCTCAAAGCCATGGGCAGGGACACCTCCCACCAGCCCAGGTTGCTCCAAGCCACATCCAACCTGGCCTTGGACACTTCCAGGGATCCAGGGGCAGCCACAGCTTCTCTGGGCAACCTGTGCCAGGGCCTCCCCACCCTCATAGGGAGGAATTCCTTCCCAATATCCCATCTAAGCCTATTTTCAGGACCTCCAGCACCCAGGACACGGAGCAGGGAGCTCTCAGTGATGCATTTCAGTGTCACACAACCCCCACGGTGCCGAGTGACTCTCCCAAGCAATTCCCATTTCCAGGGGGTAACTGGATCCGCTGAAATGGGAAGCTGTGGGAGCACCAGCGACACTGCCAGGAGGGCAGGCAGGAGGATTTGGGCTAACACTGCCTTCCTGGGAACAGCAAAATATCCCTGACACCCCTCAGCACCCAGGAGCACTTCCCGTGCTCCTGCCCATTCCACCGGACACCCGGCGGGAACGAGAACCACGGGACGTCCCCGGAGCAGCCTCACCTTTCTTCATTTCCTTCTCCTTCTTGAAAATCTTCCCAGTCTCCTCCATGATCATGGCATCCCCCTTCTCGCACAGGCAGAGAACCGACGCTCCGGAATTCGCCGCCTCCACCACGGCACGAAGGACCCCTGGATTCCAAAGGACACCCTGAGCCTTTCAGGGAAAAACAGCCTCAAACCCAACAGCAACATCCCCCTCACGGCACTCTGGCGGGAAAACCTCACTGCTGCCCAGGACAAAACAAGATTCCAGACTCGGATCTTGACTGAAAATGACCCTGGAGAGGCACAAATCCCACCTTAATCTTCGGGAATGTTTCCACGGGGCTGCACAGGTGAAGCACCTCTGAGACCCAGCGGGAAGCAGGAGCCCCACATTCCTTTGGGAGAAGTCAGAGCTCCAGAAACAGGTTTGGGAATTGCTGGGAGACATCAAAGGCACTGTGGACGTGCGGGGCCGGAGACAGACTCAGCCGGGCACCCACTCCATGAGTCCCTGTTTTCCAAGGAATCTACGTGCTCCTGGCCCAGCCTGGCACAAGGAACTCCCCACGCCCAGCTCTGTGCTGGGCTTACAGGAAGTTTGGGGAATATTTGAGTCCCTGTGAGTCCTGTTTGGAACCGCTGGGAATGCCGGCCTGCTTTGTGCTTTAGGGACAAACTGTGGGAAAGGGGTGTCCCAGGGCCCCTTCCCTCCTTCTCCCTCCACCTGTGACACTCCACAGGGAGCCACAGCCCTATCCCAAAGTTTCCTGGGATCCCTGGATATCTCCTCAAAGTCTCCCCTCGTCCTGTGATCACGTTGTTTGTACAAGAGGCTGTTTAGGGGGAGTCACACAGGGGGGAAAATGTGCTTTCCTGGAATTCCAAGGAATCCTTGGAAGGGCTGAGGGGACAGGTGGGTCTTTCACCTGCGCAAATTTCAGCCCCCTCCAGTCACCTTTCCATGGGAAAGTTTGGAATATTTCAAAGCACAGATAACGCTCCGATAGGAGCCGGTTGTGGCTGGCAGAACACGGAGAAGAAATAAAACAAACAGGGAAGCAGATAAAGGGGGAACTCTTGGAGCATTCCAAGGGATCCGAGGAGCAGGGACAGCTGACAGCACTGCCCAGGAACACTCCCGACTGTGCCCTGCCCTTCCCAGGGTTTCCTTAGGGAGTTAAAGCACTTTATAGCTCTAAAAGCCCCTCACTCTGGCAAGAACTCGAGGCAGCTGGAAGTTTTTTTGCCACGCTTGTGTGTTTGCTCTTCCCAAGGGAGAAGAACCCGCGTGGAGCTGCCTTTCCCCCCGGGAAGGGAGGTGGCCAAACTTCCAGTTTGCCCAGCAGACCGAGGGAGCCAAAGCGGCGGCGACCTCCCTTCCCGAAGGGAATCTGCATCCCCGCTCCCGGCCCGAGCTGCCTCCCAGGACAGCGGCAGGAGCGGGAGTCCGAGGGAAGCTCTGGAGTCAGCAGGAGCCGGGGTGGGACACCCGGGAGCCCCACGGAACCGGTCGGGGCGGCTCTAACAGCTGTCACCCTCCGCGGGGCACCCGCGACAGCGCGGACAGGGCTTAAAAAATAACAGGGGAAAGGGAACAACGCGGGGGGGGGGGGGGCAGGGCCCGGGGGGGGGGCACAGCCTGGCCCGGGGCAGGACCCCCGAGCAGGGGCAGGAACGGCATTCCCGGGGCCGGACCCCCGGTCTGGGGTAGGAACCGCATTCCTGGGGCAGCCCTCACCCCAATTCCCGGGGCAGGACGCCCCTAGGGCAGGGCAGGGCCCCCCCCGGAGCTCCCCCATCTCCGATCCCATCCCCGCCACCACCGCGGGACCCCCCGGACCTGGGGGGGGGGGGTCAGAGCCCCGAACAAAAGGGCGGCGCGGGGCAGCCCCGGGGGCACCGGGGGGGTCCCTCCGTGTCCCGGTGCGGGACGGAGGGGGCGGGGGGCACAGGCCCGGCCCCGCACCCCCCGCGCCGCCGGTGCACGTGGGGCGCGGTACCACGTGCCGGCTGCGGCGGCCGCGCGGGGCCGGGGCCCGGCGGGGTCCCGAGTACCGGGGGTGGAACGGGGGGGCCCCACCCGCGGCCGCACCAAACCCCCCACCAGCGGGGGGGGCCGGCCCGGGGGGGCTCAGACCGTGGGGGGAGCAGCCCTCGCCGCCCCCCCGCCCCTCACCGGAGCCGCCCCCCGCCCGCCCCGCCGCCCCCCCGCCCCGGGCCCCGCACTCACGGTTGGCGATGTCCCCCCCCATCTTGTACTTGGTCACCACCAGGTCCTCGGCGATGGTGAGCTCGGCCGCCTCCTCCTCGCCCGACATGGTGGGAGCCCCCCCGCCGAGCCCGAGCCTCCCCCGGAGCCCCCCGGGCCTGGTCGAGCCCCCCGGGCCTGGTCGAGCCCCCCGCCCGCCGCCGCCGCCGCCGCCGCCGAGGAGCCCCCGGGACCGCGAGCCCGAGGCGCGAGCAGGGCAGAGCGCGGGCTCCGCGCGGGGCACGCTGGGAACGCGAGTCCTCCACGCCCCCCCGGACTACAACTCCCGGCAGCGCCCGCGCCGCCGCGCGCACAGCCCTGGGCGGGCCTTTCTCCCAGGACTACAACTCCCGGCGCAGAGCGCGGCTCTCGCGAGAGGAGGAGGGGAATCGCGGCGGAAGTGGAGCGCGGGGGGTGATGGGGGATGTAGGCGAAGGGTGGGGGCACCGGCACCGCGACGCCACCGGCACCGGTCCCTGCCCGAGGATGTCGGTGCCCCCGGTCCCTGTCCCTGTCCCCGTTACCAGCCCCATCACCGCTCTCTCGCCGCAGCTCCCGCTCCGGTGTCCTCCTCCTGACCCCCCAACACCGCCACCGTGACCCCCCCGGGGCCGGTCACTGCCCGAGGATGTCGGTGCCCCCGGTCCCACTCACCGCCCAGCCTCGTGGCCCCGCCGCAGCCCCCGGTCCGTTGTGCCCCCTCAATCCCCCAATTCAGTCTCCCCGATGCTCCCCCCCCGCCCGGTGTCCCCTCCCCGACCCCCCCGAGCCGCAGAACCGACTCCGGTGTTGAAATTCCCTTTTGTCTTTATTCAGCCCCGTCTCGCCCCCCTCGACGCCGGGGGCGATCCCTGAGCGGGGGGGTCCGGGCTGACCCCCCCAACCCCGGGTAGCCCCCGAGAGACCGGGGAAAGCACCACGGAAAAGGGATTCCCGGGGACTCCCCGCCCGGAGCGGGGCAGGGGGCGGCTGTGCCGACCCCCCTCACCCCGGGCAGTGAGTGCTCTCCTCCCCCGACCGCGGGACACTCCTCGAGGTGCCCCCGCGGGGGTGGGGGGTTGGAGGGACACCTCCAAACCTTCACTGCGGTTCCAGCAGGGAATGGGGAAACCCGAAAATGAGTCTGGGGTCCTTCAAAAATCCCGTCTGACCTCGTCTGCTGCTCCCCCCCGGGCCCCGCAGGGACCCTCAGCACACGGGGAGCACCTTCAGCTGGGGGGAGCAGCCGGAGGACACCCCCCGGGCATGGTGGGAGGGGGACCCGGGGGTCCTGACCCCCACCCAGCCCCTTCTTCAGGGGGTCTGGGCTGCCCCCTCCCCACCACCTCGAGGGGCCCAGGATTAGCTCCCCCAGCCTTGCACCCTCAAAAAAAGACCCTGCAAAGGGTGGGAGGGAGCAGGTACACCCCAGACCGGGCTGAGACCCCCTGGTCCCCGCCCACCTTCCCCGGGGTTCATGCCCCGGGGAGGATCCTTCATATCCAGTGTGAGCAGCCCTGGGGGGGACCCGGGAGGGGGCCGGAGGGGGTCCCCTACGTCCGCTGGGCATCGGCCTTGGCGAAGAGGCGGCTGTGCCAATAGTCGGGGTTGTCGAAGGCACAGTCCGAGGCCTCCAGGCTGCGCAGGGGCTTCATGCAGGGGGTGGGGGGCCCGCGGCAGCCGGGGCAGCGCGGGGTCACCACGGCCTCCATCTCCTCGTAGCCCTGCTCCTCCTCCGGGGCGGGGGGCGCGGGGGTCTCCCCCGGGCGCATGTCGGTGTAGCCGTCGTGGCGGGGGGGGCTGCCCTCGGGGCGGGGTCCCGGCCCCCCGGACACGCTGCCCAGCGAGCGGCTCAGCCGCGGCTGCTTGTTCATGTACTCATAGTCCTCCTCGTCCTGCCCGCCCCGGCCCGGGGGGGCACCCGGGGGCCCCCCCGGCTCTGAGCCCACCTCCATGTACTCGTAGCCCAGCTCCTCCAGCGAGGCCGGCCGGGGTTGGGGGGCTCCCGGGG